TTTCCCTGAATCCCTTCACTAAATATTACCCTGCTTGCACTCCAACAGATTGTCAGATCCCAAATGCCATTCGTCTCCATTCACTCCTATTGAAGACGCTCACGCACGCCTGCTGGAAGTCCAAGCCCCTCGCCCACAAAACATCCCTTATCCCGTCCTTCCAACCTTATCGAGGACGACCCCTACCCCGCCTTCCTTCCCCTACAGATTTAAATGCTCTACATGTCATTCTACTTTGATCCATTCTCTCTAAATGACCAAACCACCTCAACAACCCCTCTTCAGCCCTCTGACTAAATGGTCCAAGTCGGACCGAAATGTCGTCGTAAGCTTCTCTCTTTTATGTGCAGGTTATTTGTGTAACTCTGACAAATACTTTTATTAACTCCACACCTTCTCCTAATTTCCACACTCCGAATTTTCTGCATAATATTTACACCACACATTGCCCTTAGACAGGACATCTCCACTGCCTCCAACCGCCTCTTCACTGCGGCATTCACAACCCAAGCTTCACACCCATATAAGTGTGTTGGTACTACTATACTTTCATAGATTCCCTTCTTTGCCTCCATAGATAATGTTTTTTTGTCTCCACATATACATCAATGCACCACTCATCTTTTTTCCCTCATCAATTTTATGATTAACCTCATCCTTCATAAATCCATCCGCCGACACGTCAACTCCCAAGTATCTGAAAACATTCACTTCTTCCATACTCCTCCTCCCCAATTTGATATCCAATTTTTCTTTATCTAAATCATTTGATACCCTCATCACCTTACTCTTTTCTATGTTCACTTTCAACTTTCTACCTTTACACACACTCCCAAACTCGTCCACTAACCTTTGCAATTTTTCTTTAGAATCTCCCATAAGCACAGTATCATCAGCAAAAAGCAACTGCGTCAATTCCCATTTTGTATTTAATAACACCCCTCTCCCGAACACCCTAGCATTTACTTCTTTTACAACTCCATCTATAAATATATTAAACAACCATGGTGACATTACACATCCCTGTCTAAGACCTACTTTTACTGGGAAGTAGTCTCCCTCTCTTCTACACACCCTAACCTGAGCCTCACTATCTCCACAAAAACTCTTTACAGCATTTAGTAACTTACCACCTATCCCATATACTTGCAACATCTGCCACATTGCTCCCCTATCCACTTTATCATACGCCTTTTCTAAATCCATAAATGCAATAAAAACTTCCCTACCTTTCTCTAAATACTGTTCACATATATGCTTCAATGTAAACACTTGATCTACACATCCCCTATCTACTCTAAAACCTCCTTGCTCATACGCAATCCTACATTCTGTCTTACCTCTAATTCTTTCAATTATAACCCTACCATACACTTTTCCTGGTATACTCAGTAAACTTATTCCTCTATAATTTTTACAATCTCTTTTGTCCCCCTTCCCTTTATATAAAGGGACTATACATGCTCTCTGCCAATCTCTTGGTACCTTCCCCTCTTTCACACATTTATTAAACAAAAATACCAACCACTCCAACACTATATCTCCCCCTGCTTTTAACATTTCTGTCATGATCCCGTCAGTTCCAGCTGCTTTACCCCCTTTCATTCTACGTAATGCCTCACTCACCTCCCCCCACACTCACATCCTGTTCTTCTTCACTCCTAAAAGATGGTATACCTCCCTGTCCAGAGCATGAAATTACTGCCTCCCTTTCTTCGTCGACATTTAAAGATGAAAAATATTTTCGCCATCTAACCAAAACCTCCCTCCCCATCTACTAACTCCCCTACTCTGTTTTTAACTGACAAATCCATTTGTTCCCTAGGCTTTCTTAACTTGTTTAACTCTCTCCAAAATTTTTTCTAATCTTCATTAAAATTTCTTGACAGTGCCTCTCCCACTCTATCATCTGCTCTCCTTTTGCACTCTCTCACCACTCTCTTCACCTTTCTTTTACTCTCCATATACTCTACTCTTCTTATTACACTTCTGCTTTGTAAAAACCTCTCGTAAGCTAACTTTTTCTCTTTTATCACAACCGTTACTTCATTCCACAAATCACTCCTCTTTACTCCTGCACCCACCCTCCTATAACCACAAACTTCTGCCCCACATTCTAATACTGCATTTTTAAAACTATTCCAACCCTCTTCAAACCCCACTACTCATACTTGCACCAGTCCATCTTTCTGCCAATAGTTGCTTCCTCCTCCCTTAGTTTATACGCTCTCACCTCCCTCTTGTTGCCATTTTCCTCATTTCCCATCTACCTCTTACTCTAACTGTAGCTACAACTAAATAATGATCCGATATGTCAGTTGCCCCTCTATAAACGTGTACATCCTGGAGTCTACCCATCAACCTTTTATCCACCAATACATAATCTAACAAATTACTTTCATTATGTGCTATAACATACCTTGTATATTTATTTATCCTCTTCATAAAATATGTATTACTTATTACTAAACCTCTTTCTACACATAGCTCAATTAAAGGCTCCCCATTTTCATTTACCCCTGGCATCCCAAATTTACGTACTACTCCCTCCACAACATTTTTGCCCACTTTAGCATTGAAATCCCCAACCACCATTACTCTCACACTTGGTTCACAAGTCCCCACGCATTCACTCAACATTTCCCAAAATCTCTCTCTCTCCTCTACACTTCTCCCTTCTCCAGGTGCATATATGCTTACTATAACCCACTTTTCACATCCAACCTTTATTTTACTCCACATAATCCTTGAATTAATACATTTATAGTCCCTCTTTTCCTGCCATAACTCATCCTTCAATATTATTGCTTCTCCTTCTTTAGCTCTAACTCTATTTGAAACCCCTGACCTAATCCCATTTATTCCTCTCCACTGAAACTCTCCTACCCCCTTCATCTTTGTTTCACTTAAAGCCAAGACATCCAGCTTCTCATTCATAACATCCACAATCATCTCTTTCTTATCATTTGCACAACATCCACACACATTCAGACTTCCCACTTTGACAATTTTCTTCTTATTCTTTTTAGTAATTATTACAGGAAAAGGGGTTACTAGCCCAGTGTTCCCGGCATTTTACTTAACTTTTACAACACTCATGGCTTACGGAGGAAAGATTCTTATTCCACTTCCCCATGGATATAAAAGGAAAAGTAATAAGACCAAGAACTATTACAATAAAATGAAAGAAAACTCAGACGAGTGTGTATAAATAAACCTGTACATGTATGTGAATTAAAAGTGAATACAGGAAAGAGTAAGGTTATGAGGATAACAAAAAGATTAGGTGATGAAAGATTGGATATCAGATTGGAGGGAGAGAGTATGGAGGAGGTGAATGTATTCAGATATATTTGGGAGTGGACGTATCAGCGGATGGGTCTATGAAAGATGAGGTGAATCATAGAATTGATGAGGGGAAAAGGGTGAGTGGTGCACTTTGGAGTCTGTGGAGACAAAGAACCTTGTCCTTGGAGGCAAAGAGGGGAATGTATGAGAGTATAGTTTTACCAACGCTCTTATATGGGTGTGAAGCATGGGTGATGAATGTTGCAGCGAGGAGAAGGATGGAGGCAGTGGAGATGTCAGGTCTAAGGTGTGGTGTGAATATAATGCAGAGAATTCGTAGTTTGGAAGTTAGGAGGAGGTGCAGGATTACCAAAACTGTTGTCCAGAGGGCTGAGGAGGGGTTGTTGAGGTGGTTCAGACATGTAGAGAGAATGGAGCGAAACAGAATGACTTCAAGAGTGTATCTGTCTGTAGTGGAAGGAAGGCGGGGTACGGGTCGGCCTAGGAAAGGTTGGAGGGAGGGGGTAAAGGAGGTTTTGTGTGCGAGGGGCTTGGACTTCCAGCAGGCATGTGTGAGTGTGTTTGATAGGAGTGAATGGAGACACATGGTTTTTAATACTTGACGTGCTGTTGGAGTGTCAGCAAAGTAACATTTATGAAGGGATTCAGGGAAACCGGCAGGCTGGACTTGAGTCCTGGAGATGGGAAGTACAGTGCCTGCACTCTGAAGGAGGGGTGTTAATGTTGCAGTTTAAAAACTGTAGTGTAAAGCACCCTTCTGGCAAGACAGTGATGTAGTGAATGATGGTGAAAGTTTTTCTTTTTCGGGCCACCCTGCCCTGGTGGGAATCGGCCAGTGTAAGTAGAAGTAGCAAGACGTACCTGAAATCTTGCATGTTTATGAGACAGAAAAAAGACACCAGCAATCCTACCATCATGCAAAACAATTACAGGTTTCCATTTTACACTCACTTGGCAGGACGCTAGTACCTTCCTGGGCGGTTGTTGTCTACCAACCTACTGCCTATACTAGTTATATTGACACTAATAAGAAATTAGATCTTGTGAAAATCATTACTTTTCTTTCAAATACACTGGACATTACGTAATGGCCTATATTATCTTACAGTATTTGCACTATTCAATATGGACAAATACATATCTTCGGTTCAGAATTTTTAAGTATCAAATATAAAAGTTGTAGGTAGTAGGCTGGTAGACAGCAACTGCCCAGGGAGGTACTACCGTCCTCCCAAGTGAGTGAAAAATGGAATCCTGTAATTGTATTACATGATGGTAGGATTGCTGGTGTCTTTTTTTTTGTTTCTTAAACATGCAAGATTTCAGGTATGTCTTGCTACTTCTACTTACACTTAGGTCACACTACACATACATGTACAAGCATATATATATACACACCCCTCTGAGTTTTCTTCTATTTTCTTTCTAGCTTTTGTTCTTGTTTATTTCCTATCTCCATGGGGAAGTGGAACAGAATTCTTCCTCCCTAAGCCATGCTTGTTGTAAGAGGCGACTAAAATGCCGGGAGCAAGGGCCTAGTAACCCCTTCTCCTGTATAAATTACTAAATTTAAAAAGAGATACTTTCTTTTTTCTTTTTGGGCCACCCTGTCTTCGTGGGATACGGCCGGTTTGTTGGAAAAAAAAATATTAAAGTAATACACATACACAACAACACAAATTTCCACTAACCTGTGAAGAATATAAGAATAATAGTGACCCCCACTCGCCTGGCCACTGTGAACAACAATGCCAGTCAACTTGTATTTGCTGCATACGATTGTCTTCATATCTTCTGGGTCATAATCTATAAGCTCACCATTTCTTGCCAATCCAGCAACTATGAAAGTAAATTTATCTTCAATGTATCATGCTTTAAAGGAAATTCTTCTAAAATCATAAGTATAACAAAATGACAAGAAATTTTGGGATTTATTTTGTCTATTAATCTTGAGGATCACAAACTGTTCAATAAAATCTCATCTTCTATTAGACGACTTGTTCTCTCTGGTTCTTATGCTCACAAAGTAAGGAAGCAGCCATCAATGTTGGCACTGCCTTTGAATCACATGCAGTAAATATTGATAAAAATGAACTAATATTTTAAAGAGAGAAGTCCAGGATCAACCCAACAGTTTACATAGTTCATTAATTTTGGTGATATTTTTCCAAATGAAAATGGCAATGGCCAAAACATTAACATTACACAATGCAATGCTATTAGAATGCAAATGTTGAGTACCAAAGAATCTAACCAAGCTAACAGTGGTCATCCCTGATCAAAGTTACCAGTTTTGACTATCCCACCCAGTGCTTATACACAATTGGTAATGCTTGGTGTTGAAAAAAAATGAAAAATAGCAATTCTTAATACCCCACCCACTAATTTTATTCAGTAACACACACTTCTTATTCTAATATTTTTTTTATAGATAAGGCAATATTACAGAGCATCCTAATTTTATCATGTCTAATAAATTTATGAAGTTTGTGTTTTAATGTTTGATATCTGCTTAAAAATATTAATTTTGTTTCAAATATTTCCAGCAACTGATTTTGACTTTAGTAACTCATTTCAGCATCAGCCATATTAACACTACTAAAACTGAACCATGTTAATTAAAGAGGGTATTCAGCATTACTTAAATTATCATCAAACACTGAATTAGCTAACAAAATTTCACTGTCATCAGAGCAACAGTTTTGCAGGTAATTCACAGGTGGGAGACTTGCAAACTTCTTAGGACATTTACTGAAGGGCAATAAACATTTCAGTGACAAATCAAGTCACCATGAGGATTCAGTTCTGCAACATATGATATACAAAAATCAAGTAAATTAGCCAAATAGGGAGGAGATGTTTACATGTCCTACATGAATCATGTGGTTACTATCTGGGAAGAGTTATAACAATGTTTTTTTTTTTTATTTTTTATTATCACACCGGCCGATTCCCACCAAGGCAGGGTGGCCCGAAAAAGAAAAACTTTCACCATCATTCACTCCATCACTGTCTTGCCAGAAGGGTGCTTTACACTACAGTTTTTAAACTGCAACATTAACACCCCTCCTTCAGAGTGCAGGCACTGTACTTCCCATCTCCAGGACTCAAGTCCGGCCTGCCGGTTTCCCTGAATCCCTTCATAAATGTTACTTTGCTCACACTCCAACAGCACGTCAAGTATTAAAAACCATTTGTCTCCATTCACTCCTATCAAACACGCTCACGCATGCCTGCTGGAAGTCCAAGCCCCTCGCACACAAAACCTCCTTTACCCCCTCCCTCCAACCCTTCCTAGGCCGACCCCTACCCTGCCTTCCTTCCACTACAGACTGATACACTCTTGAAGTCATTCTGTTTCGCTCCATTCTCTCTACATGTCCGAACCACCTCAACAACCCTTCCTCAGCCCTCTGGACAACAGTTTTGGTAATCCCGCACCTCCTCCTAACTTCCAAACTACGAATTCTCTGCATTATATTCACACCACACATTGCCCTCAGACATGACATCTCCACTGCCTCCAGCCTTCTCCTCGCTGCAACATTCATCACCCACGCTTCACACCCATATAAGAGCGTTGGTAAAACTACTCTCTCATACATTCCCCTCTTTGCCTCCAAGGACAAAGTTCTTTGTCTCCACAGACTCCTAAGTGCACCACTCACTCTTTTTCCCTCATCAATTCTATGATTCACATCATCTTTCATAGACCCATCCGCTGACACGTCCACTCCCAAATATCTGAATACGTTCACCTCCTCCATACTCTCTCCCTCCAATCTGATATTCAATCTTTCATCACCTAATCTTTTTGTTATCCTCATAACCTTACTCTTTCCTGTATTCACCTTTAATTTTCTTCTTTTGCACACCCTACCAAATTCATCCACCAATCTCTGCAACTTCTCTTCAGAATCTCCCAAGAGCACAGTGTCATCAGCAAAGAGCAGCTGTGACAACTCCCACTTTGTGTGTGATTCTTTATCTTTTAACAATGTACAAACTTTAAACTGAACTCAATAATTCTACCATTACAGTAATTGATCTAAAATAATTTCAGTTTACCCATTTCTGGTAAACAAAGTTTCCTGCTATTCAATGTTTTTGTATAACAACCAATGGATTTATATAAGTCAACACCACCACCTTCCTCTCTTAGCATACCTAATTTTAAACTTTTCATGTTTTGCTTTCTTGTGCTTCAAATAACCTGTTAAGGTTTGTACAGTGTTGCAACTCTTCTCAGACAGCAACCACCTGAAGGGAGGAATGTGAAAAGGTTAAAAGTGAGAGACAGAAGTATGTAAAGTAAGGGGTTATTGGAAGTAGGGATTTATTCAAGCAAAACTGAAATCAAAGTTGGTGCAATAGGCGAGTTTCAGCTAAAAAATTCAGAGAGGGGGGTCTGTATCAAATGTGTTAAATTAAAATTTCTCCTAATTTTTCCCTAGGCTCTGTGTTGTGATAGGAATGTCCCATGCTATGGAAACTGAGAGTATTAAAGTAGTGCATAAACTGAATTATACTATTACTGCAATGTACAAGGGTTTACTGTATAGTATAACTCTCGACACAAATTAATGACCTGTGTTAATCAAGAACTTCAGGTGTACAAAGAGTTTAACACTTGAGGAATCTAAATGACTAAGAAGGTTCTAGCAGAAGTCTACAAAAGAAAAAGAAGTTCTTGGAGAAAACACAAAGGGAGAATTTATTACCTTTTCATTGTTAAAAAATAACACAGCCAAATATCAATATTTTCTCTTCTTGAAAGAATAATGAAAATGTTACTGTGTAAGATGAAGAACTAGTGGTTTCTCTGCATGCAATGCTGGGGCTCTCCACCTTTCCTTGCTACTATGTTGCAAAGCAGTAATGATATCCATTCTGTATTAGGCAAACAAATAAAATTCACCTGTGTAAGGATCCATATCCAGCTCACGAGGAAATTCAAAGTAATCATTGAATTTAATTGAACATTCTCTCTCCCAGTCATAGTCAAATCTTTTCAGTTGTATGGCCATAATAGGTGGAAGTTTCTTCAAGCAAATCCGCTTAACTGTATCAACCTGCGAAGTGAAAAGAATAATTTCAAGTTGTAATCACAGTAAATAATTCAGCTCCTTTTAACTGTCTGAACCTCACAAGGGATCAGGTATTTCACAGAACATGATCATCGACAAAACTAGGTAGAAAAAAATACTGATGAAAATTACACACACTGATTAAAAAAGTATTGTTTTCAATAATTATAACAGCAGAAAACAAAAAAAAAGTTCCAGAGGTTTCAGAAATGCAACGTTATTTTTCTCGTATGCTTTTCAGTCTATAAGTTGCAGAAATCATTGGTAGTGCAGTTTTCAGAAACAATCCACACAGATTATGAATGTCCACTTTATTCAATTCATACTAATTTTATTTAAATAAAAAAAATAAAATCAAGCATCATTTCCCTTGAATTTTTAACAAAATAACAACAGTAAGGAGCAGAGGGTGATGGGAGGGAGGGACAAGTAGATGTAAACATTGCCAACACCCTCACATGTTACTGTTTATCATAAAATGGGAGTTGATTAATGCACAATGTAAATGCAGTAGGCACTGTATACACATTAAATTCAGGTTCCTTCCATTTTTTAACCTTGATTATGCATAAGAAGAGAAGTAGAGGATATATACACACTGGTGGGAATTGCTCTCATGGACAGGTGCAGCTCCTGTGAACCCAGGTTATGAAGTTATATATTTTCACAAAACAAAAGTTTAACAATTAAATTGATGAACAGTATGAATGTGAAGCTTGGGTGGTAAATGCAGCAGCGAGGAGACGGTTGGAGGCAGTGGAGATGTCCTGTCTAAGGGCAATGTGTGGTGTAAATATTATGCAGAAAATTCGGAGTGTGGAAATTAGGAGAAGGTGTGGAGTTAATAAAAGCATTAGTCAGAGGGCAGAAGAGGGGTTGTTGAGGTGGTTTGGTCATTTAGAGAGAATGGATCAAAGTAGAATGACATGGAAAGCATATAAATCTATAGGGGAAGGAAAGAGGGGTAGGGGTCGTCCTCGAAAGGGTTGGAAAGAGGGGGTAAAGGAGGTTTTGTGGGTGAGGGGCTTGGACTTCCAGCAAGCGTGCATGAGCGTGTTAGATAGGAGTGAATGGAGACGAATGATACTTGGGACCTGACGATCTGTTGGAGTGTGAGCAGGGTAATATTTAGTGAAGGGATTCAGGGAAACCGGTTATTTTCATATAGTCGGACTTGAGTCCTGGAAATGGGAAGTACAATGCCTGCACTTTAAAGGAGGGGTTTGGGATATTGGCAGTTTGGAGGGATATGTTGTGTATCTCTATACGTATATGCTTCTAAACTGTTGTATTCTGAGCACCTCTGCAAAAGCAGTGATAATGTGTGAGTGTGGTGAAAGTGTTGAATGATGATGAAAGTATTTTCTTTTTGGGGATTTTCTTTCTTTTTTTTGGGTCACCCTGCCTCGGTGGGAGACGACCGACTTGTTGAAAAAAAAAAAAAAAATACAGTATGTATATATTCTGTACAAGGATTCGGGGAAACTAGTTAGTTGGACTCGAGTTTTGGAGGTGGGAAGTACAATGCCTGCACTTTAAAGGAGGGGTTTGGGACATTGACAGTTTGGAGTGACACCTGAAGTGTTGCATCTGAGCGCCTCTGCAAAGACAGTGATTATGTGTGAATGATGGTAAAAGTGTTTCTTTTCTGGGTCATCCTGCCTCGGTGAGAGATGGCCGAAGTGCTAAAAAAAAAAAATAAAGTACGCACACACAAAGTACATACTAAATTCACATTATACTTAGTTTCCTCATTATAACCCTGATTATACAAATGGAAGGAAGCAAAGGACTTGGTATATAAATCTTCAGTTCCTCTCAATTTGTATATAACATTATCTCTGGTATCCTCACATTTTAGCTCTGGATATGCAAAGCATATGAAAACATTGCATGTATTGACTGGTATGCAGGAAATGGCTAATTTTATTATATTTGTAAGCTTTCCTATGACTCCCATGGTGATAAGCAATTTATATACAAGATGGCGTTTTTTTTTTTTTTTCAACAAGTCGGCTGTCTCCCACCAAGGCAGGGTGACCCAAAGAGAAAGAAAATCCCCAAAAAGAAAATACCTTCATCATCATTCAACACTTTCACCTCACTCACACATAATCACTGTTTTTGCAGAGGTGCCCAGAATACAACAGCTTAGAAGTATATACATATAAAAATACACAATGTATCTCTCCAAACTGCCAATATCCCAAAAGATGGTATGTATACACATTTATGGACATGCTGCAAGATTAACCCTTCACGTTCTTGTTTAATTACTGTACTTTTACCACCATTATCAATCGCTGACACATTCAACATCTATATAAATAAACCTAAGGTTAGTGAATAACTGTTAACCCTTTGAGGGTTTCGGACGTACTAGTACGTCTTACGCGCAGGGGTTTTTGACGTACTAGTACGCATAAATTCTAGCGCCGTCAAATCTCGCGGGAAAAGGCTGGTAGGCCTCCATATGAAAGAATGGGTCTATGTGGTCAGTGTGCACAGTATAAAAAAAATCCTGCAGCACACAGTGGATAATGAGAAAAAAAAACTTTCACCGTTTTTTTTGGCATAAAACAGCGACTTTGCACTGTATTTTCGTATGGTATTTATTGTTGTATTCTAGTTTTCTTGGTCTCATTTTATAGAATGGAATGCATATCACAGAAATTGAGATGATTTTCACTGGTTTTACAATGAAAAGTACCTTGAAATTGAGCTCAAAGTAGCAGAAATGTTCGATTTTTACCAAAGTTCAAAAGTAATCAAATCATGCCAAGCGTTCAATACATGTCAACTGGTGAGTCTAACATTCTTTTGCAAGTGCGCCAATATGATTTATACCATTTTTTACACTAATGCAGTAGTCTGCATAACAGTAAATCTTCTATTTTTCGTGAGAATAAAAATTCAAAGTGGAAAGCAAAAGAATGTAAGAGGGGCCTTGAGACGTGACTAATGAACAGAAGAAATGTCATTTTAGTGCCAGGAATGTATTTCTTGTTTGTTCTGGACCCTATTCGGAAATTGGCATTTTTTGAAATTTGTGTGAAATTGGCAAAATTGCTAAATTCTGACCACTGTATTGGATAGTTGAAAATGGTAAATGGGTGGTTTCTTGAACTCATTCAATAGAAAAAATGTAGTTCTAGCGAAATATTCATGTTTTTGTCGACTAGTACAGAGGAATTGGCCGAAAATGGGGCTCAAATTGGGCAAAATCGCCGATGCGTAAACATCACCGAGACCGCTGACTTCGCGAGAGCATAATTCTGTAAGTTTTCCATCAAATCTCATAATTTTGGTGTCATTATGATCGGGAAAAGATTCTCTATCTTTTCATAAGAATTTTTTTTTTTTTTTTTTTAAATTTGGCCGACCCTGAGAACGAGTTTCTGAGAGGGCCTGTCGACCCTCAAAGGGTTAAAGGAACAGTAAAGTCTAGTTAGTGAAATTATCATCATCAGCCTCTCTGTACTGGCTCTCAGCTATTTTTCCCTATATTTACACTATCATAAATGAACATCACAGCATCACGATCAAAGAAAGGTCACAATTTCTCAACCATCTTACAGCAAAAACTTTGTAACAGATCGCATCTTGATCGACAGTTTACTGTTCTATATGTTTTGTGAAACATTCACAAGAGAAATTACTAGCATGTAAATGCACACATCCTAGGTAGTAGGTTGGTAGACAGCAACCACCCAGGGAGGTACTACCGTCCTGCCAAGTGAGTGTAAAACGAAAGCCTGTAATTGTTTTACAAGATGGTAGGATTGCTGATGTCCATTTTTCTGTCTCATAAACATGCAAGGTTTCAGGTATGTCTTGCTACTTCTACTTACACTTAGGCCACACTACACATACATGTACAAGCATATATATACACACCCCTCTGGGTTTTCTTCTATTTTCTTACTAGTTCTTGTTTATTTCCTCTTGCCTCCATGGGGAAGTGGAACAGAATTCTTCCTCCATAAGCCATGTGTGTTGTAAGAGGCAACTAAAATGCCAGGAGCAAGGGGCTAGTAACCCCTTCTCCTGTATATATTACTAAATGTAAAAGGAGAAGCTTTCATTTTACTTTTGGGCCACCCTGCCTCGGTGGGATACAGCCAGTGTGTTGAAAGAAAGAAAAGAAATGCACACATCATTAAAACATACTGCAAATATAGAAATCTGTCTTGCACACTCCCATATTTAAGTGCATGTTCATTCAACTTACCTTTTTGTCGCACTTTTCACAAAGATACGCATTATCCCCCTCCAGTAAATCACCCTTCACATACTGTTCTAGGGAATCATAGAGATTGCTGTAGTTGCGTATATCGATACTGATGACCGTGAAGGTTTCTTCCCTTGAGTACCTATGATGATGCAGGTCAAAATGAAATTTATATTTAAATATTCACCAAAAAACAAACTTTTAAATATGGAAGAGAATTTCTAATATACCACTAATTTAACATGTACTGTATAATGTCAAGAAATACAATACTTTATACAGGTAATCTGACTACTGAAATAGAGTGGAGAAATACCTGTGAGGGCAAGTTTTGCAGATCTTCTGGTCAGAATAAGAACCCCCAAGTATCTTGTTCATTATCTGTTCATGTCCTAAGGCTTTAAGCGCCTCATTCAAGCTCTCCACCAAAATATTGTAGAATTCACAAGCATCATGTTGCTCCCGCAAGTTCACAGGCTCTCCTTGTAATCTATTTAAAAGCAAAAATAAATAAGACCTTTATAAACTATCCAAATTTTATATTATGTATTTAATTCCGACAAGCTCTTCTCTTTTATTAATAGGGATATAAAACTTTGTACCTATTGAAGTAAACTACGTCATGAGGTAAGGAAACTTCTCTGGCAATCTCGGATAATTATATGACTGATGACGACAATGCAGTTAAGGGAGTCGTAGGTGGAAACTAAAAACTATTGTGCATCTTGATATACCACATCTTATTTGAAACTGGAGAGGGGAAATGTATACAGAACAAATAAACCTAATGCTAAATTCTAAGTCCTCATGAATTTTGGTGCATCAGCAATATTTACACATGGACGATTTTGCCCACTTTGACTCCCATTTGAGGCTAATTAAATTATTCCAGTTGATCAAATTCTTAGCTATTTTGCTAGTATTACTTCTATTTTATCAATTGAGCACAAGAAATTGCCCAATCAACTACTATTTCAACTATCCAATAGTGTTCAGAAATTGGTAATTTGGCCAATATCAAAGTTCAAAATATTCCACTTTCAAAATAGAATTCAGAATAAACAATGCGGACATTCCTGGCACTAACATAACATTTCCTCTGTTCATCAGTTATGTTTTCAGGCTTTACAAATGAATTCCACTTTGATCTTTTATTCACCTAACGAATTTTTATTCACACCAAAAAATTGAAGATTTACTGTTATGCAATATTGTAATAATTGTATAAATAATATCAGCGCATTCGTGAACACACATTAGACCTACCAGCTGACATGTACTGAACACATGATGTCATTTGTTTACTCCTGAACATTGGCAAAAATTGAACGTTTCTGCTACTTTGAGCTCAGTTTCAAGCCATTTTCCGTACTAAAACCAATCAAAATCATCTCCATTTCTGTAATATATCTACCACTATCAAATGAGACCAAGAAACCGTGAATACAACCATAAGAAATGTGCAAAAATACACTGCAAAGTCTTGTTTCAACAAAAACTCAATTTTTTTTTCTCATTATGCACTGCATGCTGCAGGATTTGTTTTATAAGGTGCACACTTACCACAAAGATGCATCCTCTCATATCTAGGCCCAAATTTACTGCTCACACCTTATCTGAGTGAGCTGAGTTCGTGATGTAGAACTATGGCTTGGACCCTGGCTTCAAAGCTGTAGAACTACAGGACGGACCCTCAAATGGCTAACTATCTTAAATGTCTCTCCCTACATGGGTGAACTTGTGTATCATTCTATCAGAATTTTGAAGATAAACTTCTAAGGAGTTTCTGCTAAAACTGGCTAAAGCAGAAAAGTATGTAGAAATACACACATGGGGTTTTAAAACAGATGTTTTACCTGCCAGGAGTCTCTTCAAACCAATACTGACAACATGAGACAGGTAGTAAACACACAATGGCAAAAGTCAGATGCACAGAAGAGGAGGATAGGACTAAGTTATGGCAATATCCTGCTTGGATAGAATGCACTGAGGGTATTTTGGATATGATGTAACTACCTGTGTTTTGTTATGGTGTTGGTGGAATATACACATGTTGAGGAAACTCCCATAAATCTCACACAACATATGCATGCCAGAAATATGATCTGAAAAAAGTTAAATTTCAGATCAGATTGCAATGAATGTGGGCACTTCATGGATTTCAACAAGGCCAAACTAGTCATCAAGGAATCTATCCAGCCTAGCTCAAATTATAAGGAGTTTCATCACATCCAAAATGCTTGCACAATACACTTTTACCCATGCAGGATACAGCCATCACTTAGCACTGCTCTTCTTCTCAACACACTTGACCTCTGCCACTTTAAATAATGCCTGTCTTGTTCTCTATATTGGAGTGAGGAAGCCGCCCCTGGCAAGCAAAAACCAACAAACACGTGTGTATTTGCATACAAGTTGTTCCTGACACACTTGCTTAATTCAAGATCTACTTCAGCTACAACTTCAGTATTCCTTTACATCGCAAAATGTTTTTCAACATGAATGTAAAAAATAACTTAACCTAGAGGGCACTGAGGTTTTTCTTTGTTATGCAGGCATGTGATCATACCTCCATACAGGGGAGCACTTCACAGCTTCTCAGATTTTGAAGAACTGCCACCTTCACTACTTTTGCACTTTAGTGTCATTATTAAGTAAAATTAAGGTTTATTTTCACGCCAGGGGTATACCACAGATAACCGAAACCCCAGAAACTAGACCCACGGACACGGCAGTAAAGTGTGATCTGGTAAAAGAACAGAATATTGTTCAACTTATCTACATGTTTACTTACTTGAAATGCTTCCAAAGACCTCTTGGGACATAGTACTGTAGTTTGGAGCATGCTAAATGTGCAAAGATAGCCTGCACCTGCTTGAGAATCCCTATGTGATATTCCTTTCTACTTTCCTCGTTAGAACTACTGTTCATAGCATCTTCTTCATTTCCATCAAGATTGGTCTAGAAGGAAATATAAATGGCAAACTTGTATTCTACATTTACTGCGACATTTTATTATACATAACTAAAGCACAGACACCTACAGTGCATTTGGGTGACCCCTACCTCCCATCCTCCCCCACTACAGTTTTATATACGTACCCTTCAAGTCATCCTATTTTACTCCATCCTCCCTAAATATCCAAACCACCTCAACAACCCCCTGAGCCCTCTGGATAATACTTTTTGTAACCCAACACCACCTTCAAATCTGCAAGCAAGCATAATCTCTACACAACACATTGCCCTCAGACAACATCTCCACTGCTTCCATCCTCCTCCTTGCTGCAACGTGAATTTCACAACTCATACTTCACACCCATATAAGAGTGCTGATGCCACTATACTCTCATACATTCACCTCTTTGCCTCCATTCACCTCTTTGTCTCCACTAATGCCTCAATGTATGACTCGCCTTTTTCACCTCACCAATTCACCTTGTTTGTCATAGACCATCCAATGGCAAGTTCACTCCCAGACATATGAATACATTCCCTTCCCTCCATCCAATCTGATATCCAATCCTTCATTGCCATTGTTTGTTACCTTTATCACCTTGCTCTTTCCTATGCTCACTCTTAATTTCCTTCTGCATATGCTCCCAAATTCATTCCCTGACATTTGCAACTTCTCTTCAGAATCTCTCAAAAAGCAACTGTGACAACTCACATTTTGTATTATATTTTGCATACTTTAATTCTGCACCTTTCCCAATACCCTAGCATTCACTTTTTACAAACCCATCTATAAATATGGTAAATAACCATGGTAACATCATACATTCCTGTCTAAGGCCCACTTTTACTTAAAAATAATCTCCCTCTCTCCTACATACCCTAACATGAGCTAAATCCACAAATGCAACAAAAACTTCCTTACCTTTATCTAAATAATGTTTACTTGTATATTTCAATGTAAACACTTGGTCTACACATCGCCTACCCTTCCTGAAGCCTTGTTTATCTGCAATCCTGCAGATAAACAATCTTGCCCTTAATTCTTTAATATTAATTCTTAACCCTTAAACGGTCCAAACAGATCGAAGTTCAAATCCGCAGTGCTCCAAAAGTAGATCTACGTTTTTTTTTACACATTTTCAAAAATAACAAAAAAAAAAAAATGTAGATAAAAGTTTTTTTTACACATTTTTAAATGTAAAACAAGAAAGAAGATTACATTTTTTTACATACTTTCAAATGTTGAAAAAACTTACACATACGTTTGGACCATTTAAGGGTTAAACTGTCCAAACGTAGATCTACATTTTTTCAACATTTGAATGTAAAAAAAACACAGATCTTTTTTTTTTTAAGATTTGAAAGTGTGTAAAAAAAATTTGATCTGCTTTTTTTTTTATATATTTGAAAATATGTAAAAAAATGTAGATCTACTTTTGGAGTACTACACATGTGAACATAGATCTATGTTTGGACAGTTTAAGGGTTAAATTCTACCATATAACTTACCTGATATACTTAACAGGTTTATTTCCCTAACATTTACTCTCTTTTGTCCCCCTTTCCTTTATTCAAAACAACTATGCATGCTCTCTGTCAATCCCTAAGTACTTTCCCTTCTATTGAACATTTATTGAATGAAAGTACCAACCACTCCAAAACTATATCTGTAACTTCTTTTAACATTTCCATCTTGATCTCATCAGTCACAGCTGCTTTACTCCCTTCCAATTCACTCACTGCTTTGCACACATCCACCACTCTTACATCTGGCTCTTCCTCACTCCTAAAGAATGTTATACCTCTAGCCAGTGCATGAAATCACTACCTCCCTTTCTACTTCAACATTTAACAGCTCCTCAAAATATTCCCACCATCTTCCCAATACCTCCAACTACCCATTTAATAACTCACTTTTTTTTTTTTAACACTTCGACCGTCTTCTACCAAGGTAGGGTGATCCAAAAAGAAAGAAAATCCCCCCAAAAATACTTTCATCATTCAACACTTTCACCTCACTCACACATAATCACTGTCTTTGCAGAGGTGCTCAGATACAACAGTTTAGAAGTCCCTCCAAACTGTCAATATCCCAAACCCCTCTTCTATGTATTAAATACATTTGTTCCCTAGGCTTTCTCAACCAATAATCTCACTCCAAAACTTTTTCTTATTCTCAGTAAAATTTATTGACAGAACCTCACCCAATCTCATCTGCACTCCTTTTACCTATCCTCACTACACACTCGACCCTTTTTACTCTCCATATTCTCCACCCTCCTTATATCACTTCTGCTTCGTAAAATCCTCTTATTTGCTAACTTTTTTTCCCCTCACCATTTGCTTTACCTCATCTTTACCACAATCACCTCTCTTCCCTTCTGCAACCACCCTCTTATAGCCACAAACTTACTGCACATTAACACTGCATTCTTAAGCCCAAACCATACCTTTTCAACCTCTACATTACCTATCCTTTCATTCTCCCATCTTTCTCCCAATAATTGATTATATCTAACCTTAAATACCTCCTGTAATTTATAAACTTTCACCCTTCTCATACTCACCGATGCATTCTCCTTGTTCCCCATCTACCTCTTACTCTAACTGTAGCTACAAGTAACTAATAATCTGATATATCTGTTACCCTTCTATATAAACAAGTACATCCCATCAATCTTTTATTCGCCAATATATAGTCCAACAAACTATTGTCATTATGTACTATATCACATCTTTCTTAAATATGTATTACCTATTATGAAACTTTTTCTGTACAAATTTCAATCAAATGTCATCCTATTATCATTTACCTCTGGTACCCCAGGTGCATAAACATGCAGTATAACCCACTTTTTGCATTCACATAATCCTTCAATTCATACATTTATATTCCCTCCTTTCCTGCCATGACTGATCCTTCAACATTACTGCTACTCCTTTCTTAGCTCTAACTCAAGATACCCCTGATATATTTTCAATGCTTTACAATTACATTAGTATTTTATTTCTATGGCTTCTGTCATGCTGACTGAATGTATCTACCTAGACTAAGTCCTCTATACTAATTATTCTATTTGCTGTATTCAATGCAAATAATTTCGTCCAAAAGCCACACACTATCTCAAATATATCTGGAAAATATACTGGGTCTAAGTTAAGAGAACCTCTTTGTTATCTCGCTAGAACAAAAAATATTTCTAAATTTTTAATGTTGGTTATTTTAATAATATTTGTGTGTTTGCAAAGCACCAAAAGATGATTAAACTAAAAACAAGAGTATGATTTATGGCATGACATACCTCTTGCTCCATTCTTTCTTCACCACTGAAATCTTCCTCAGGATCTGTCGCTGCTCCTTCCACTGCTAATACACCATGCCTATAAACAGAAAAAGTTACAATTTAATCAATTAAATTTCCAATATTTTATCTCCTCTTTTTTTTTTCAACACGTCAGCTATCTCCCACCGAGGCAGGGCGACTCAAAAATGAAAAACGTTTTCACTATCATTCACACACTCACTGCCTTTGCTGAGGTGCTCAGATACGACAGTTCAGATGTCACTCCAAACAAATTCCGAACACCTCTTTGAAAGTGCAATCACTGTACTTCCTACCTCCAGAACTCAAGTCCGGCTAACCAGTTTTCCTTAATTATTTCACAAAACAACATTACCCTTCTCACACACCAAGAGCTCGTCAAGTAGCAAAAAACATTCATTTCTATTCATTCCTATCTAACACACTCACATATGCCTGTTCTTTGTCCAAGACCCTTGTACACAAAATCTCTTGTACCCCCTCCCTCCATCCATTCCTAGGATGACCCCTACCTCTCCTCCCCTCCATTACAGATTCATACATCCTCCAAGTCATTCTATTTTGCTCCATCCCCTCTATGTGACCTAACCACCTCAACAACCTCTGCTCAGCCCTCTGAATAATACTTTTAGTAACACCACTTCCTCGTAATTTTCACACTACAAAATCTCTACATAATATTTACACCACATACTGCTCATATAGTAGGTTGGTACACAGCAACCACCCAGGGAGGTACTACCGTCCTGACAAGCGAGTGTAAAACGAGAGCCTGCAACTGTCTTACATGATGGTAGGATTGCTGGTGTCTTTTGCCTGTCTCATAAATATGCAAGATTACAGGTACATCTTGCTACTTCTACTTACACTTAGGTCACACTACACATACATGTACATGTTTATTTATACACACTCATCTGAGTTTTCTTTGATTTTATCTTAATAGTTCTTTTCTTGTTCTTATTAGTTTTCCTTTTATACCCATGGGGAAGTGGAATAAGAATCTTTCCTCTGTAAGCCATGTGTGTTTTAAAAGTCAACTAAAATGCTGGGAACAATGGGCTAGTAACCCCTTTTCCTGTACAGATTACCAAAAAGAAGAAAATTGTCAAAGTGGGATGTCTGAATGTGCATGGATGTTGTGCAAATGATAAGAAAGAGATGATTGTGGATGTTATGAATGAGAAGAAGCTGGATGTCCTGGCTTTAAGTGAAACAAAGCTGAAGGGGGTAGGAGAGTTTCTGTGGTGAGAAGTAAATGGGATTAGGTCAGGGGTTTCAAATAGAGTTAGAGCTAAAGAAGGAATAGCAGTAATGTTGAATGATAAGCTATGACAGGAAAAGAGGGAGAATAAATAAATGTATTAATTCAAGGGTTATGTGGAGTAAAATAAAGGTTGGATGTGAAAAGTGGGTTATAGTAAGCATATATGCATCTGAAGAGAGAAGTGTAGAGTAGAGAGAGAGGTTTTGAGAACTGTTGAGTGTGTGGGGAGATTTGAACCAAGTGTGAGAGTACTTGTGGTTGGCAATTTCAATGCTAAAGTGGGTAAAAATGTTGTGGAGGGAGTAGTACATAAATTTGGGGTGCCAGGGGTAAATGAAAATGGGGAGCCTTTAACTGAGCTATGTGTAGAAAGACGTTTGGTAATAAGTAATACATATTTTATGAAGAAGAGGATACATAAATATACAAGGTATGGTATAGCAGGTAATGAAAGTAGTTTGTTAGATTATATATTGGTGGATAAAAGGTTGATGGGTAGGCTTCAGGATGTACATGTTCATAGAGGGGGCAACTGATATATCGGATCATTATTTAGTTGTAGCTAAAGTTAGATTAAGAGGTAGATGGGACAAAAGGAAAATGGCAACAAGTAAGAGAGGTGAAAGTGTATAAACTAAGGGAGGAAGAAGTTTGGGTGAGATATAAGCAACTATTGGCAGAAAGGTGGGCTAGTGCAAGTATGAGCAGTGGGGGGGTTGAAGAGGGTTGGAATAGTTTTAAAAATGCAGTTTTAGAATGTGGGGCAGAAGTTTGTGGCTACAGGAGGGAAGAGGAGTGATTGGTGGAAGGATGAAGTTATTCGTGTGATAAAAGAGAAAAAGGTAGCTTATGAAAGGTTTTTACAAAGCAGAAGTGTTATAAGAAGAGCATAGTACATGGAGAGTAAAAGAAAGGTGAAGAGAGTGGTGAGAGAGTGAAAAAGGAGAGCAGATGACAGAGTGGGAGAAGCACTGTCAAGAAATTTTGATGAAAATAAGAAAAAATTTTGGAGTGAGATAAACACGTTAAGAAAGCCTATGGAACAAATGGATTTGTCAGTTAACAACAGAGTAGGGGAGTTAGTAGATGGAGAGATGGAGGTATTGGGTAGATGGCAGGAATATTTTGAGGAACTTTTAAATGTCAACCAAGAAAGGGAGGCGGTAATTTCACACACTGGCCAGGGAGGTATACCATCGTTTAGGAGTAAAGAAGAGCAGGATGTGAGTGTGGGGGAGGTGCGTGAGGCATTACGTAGAATGAAAGGGAATAAAGCAGCTGGAACTGACGGGATCATGATAGAAATGTTAAAAGCAGGGGGGGATATAATGTTGGAGTGGTTGGTATTTTTGTTTAATAAATGTACGAAAGAGGGGAAGGTACCTAGGGATTGGCAGAAAGCATGTATAACTCTTTTATATAAAGGGAAGGGGGACAAAAGAGAGAGTAAAAATTATAGAGGAAAAAGTTTACTGAGTAGACCAGGAAAAGTGCATCGTAGGGTTATCACTGAAAGAATTAGAGGCAAGACAGAAAGTAGGATTGTGGACAAGCAAGGAGGTTTTAGTTTGAGTAGGGGATGTGTAGATCAAGTGTTTACATTGAAGCATATATGTGAACAGTATTTAGGTAAAGGTAGGGAAGTTTTCATTGCATTTATGGATTTAGAAAATGCATATGATAGAGTGGATAGGGGAGCAATGTGGCAGATGTTGCAAGTATATGGAATAAGTGGTAAGTTACTGAATGCAGAAAAGAGTTTTTATGAGGATAGTGAGGCTCAGGTTAGGGTGTGTAGAAGAGAGGGAGACTACTTCCCAGTAACGGTGGGTCTTAGACAGGGATGTGTAATGTCACCATGGTTGTGTAATATATTTATAGATGGGGTTGTAAAAGAAGTAAATGCTAGGGTGTTGGAGAGAGGGGTTGGATTAAATTATGAGGAATCAAATACAAAATGGGAATTGACACAGTTACTTTTTGCTGATGATAATGTGCTTATGGGAGATTCTAAAGAAAAGTTGCAGAGATTAGTGGACAAGTTTGGGTGTGTGTGTAAAGGTAGAAAGTTGAAAATGAACATAGAAAAGTTTAAGGTGATGTGGGTATCAAATGATTTAGATAAAAATTGGATATGAAATTGGAGAGGAGTATAGAAGAAGTGAATGTTTTCAGATGAGGATGAGGTTAACCATAGAACTGATGAAGGAAAAAAAGGCAAGTGGTGCATTGAGGTATATGTGGGGACAAAATAACATAATCTATGGAGGCAAAGAAAGGAATGTATGAAAGTATAGTGGTACCAACACTCTTACATGGGTGTGAAGCTTGGGTTGTAAGTGCTGCAGTGAGGAAGCGGTGGAGATGTTCTGTCTAAGGGCAATGTGTGGTGTAAATATTATGCATAGAATTCGGAGTGTGGAAATAAGGTGTGGAGTTAATAAAAGTATTAGTCAGAGGGCTGAAGAGGGGTCGTTGAGGTGGTTTGGTCATTTAGAGAGAATGTATCAAAGTAGAATAACATGGAGAGCATATAAATCTGTAGGGGAAGGAAGGCAGGGTAGGGGTCGTCCTCAAAAAGGCTGGAATGAGGGGGTAAAGGAGGTTTTGTGGGTGAGGGGCTTGGACTTCCAGCAAGCATGTGTGAGCGTGTTAGATAGGAGTGAATGGAGACGAATGATATTTGGGACCTGATGAGCTGTTGGAGTGTGAGCGGGTAATATTTAGTGAAGGGATTCAGGGAAACCGGTTACTTTTATACAGCTGGACTTGAGTACTGGAAATGGGAAGTACAATGCCTGCACTTTAAAGGAGGGGTTTGGGATATTGGCAGTTTGGAGGGATATGTTGTGCATCTTTATACGTATATGCTTCTAAACTTTTGTGTTCTGGGCACCTCTGCAAAAACAGTGATTATGCATGAGTGAGGTGAAAATGTTGAATGATGATGAAAGTATTTTCTTTTTGGGGATTTTCTTTCTTTTTGGGTCACCCTGCCTCGGTGGGAGATGGCCAACTTGTTTAAAAAAAAAAATATTGCTCTTTAAACATGACATCTCCACTGCCTCCAGCCTCCTCCTTGCTGCAGCATTTACAACCCATGATTCACACCCATGTAAGTGTTGGTACCACTAGACTCTCATGCATTTCCTTCTTTGCCTCCATAGATAAAGTTTTGTCTCCACAGATACCTCAACGTGTGGTGTAAATATTATGCAGAGAACTTGTAGTGGAAATTATGAGGAGGTGTGGAGTAACTAAAAGTATTAGAGGGATGAAGAGGGGCTGTTAAGGTGGTTTGGTCAATTAGAGAGGATGGAGCAAAGTAGAATGACTTGGAGAGCAGATAAATCTGTAGGGGAAGGAAGGTAAGGTAGGGGTTGTCCATGAAAAGTTAGGAGGGGGTAAAGGAGGTTTTGTGGCGAGAGGCTTGGACTTCAGCAAGTGTGTGCAAGCGTGCTAGGAGTAAATGGAGACGAATGGTTTTAGGGATGTTACGAGCTGTTGGAGTGTGAGCAGGGTAATATTTTTTCAAGGGATTCAGGGAAACCAGGTAGCCAGACTTGAGTCATGGAAATGGAAAGTACAATGCCTGCACTTTAACCCTTAAACTGTCCAAACATAGATCAACCTTCACATGCGCAGCACTCCAATCATAGATCTACATTTTATTTTACATGCTTTCAACCTGGGCACTATAAGCCTGAGTTGCCTAGACACGAGAGAATGAGTGTGCACTCAGTGTGCGCAGTATGACAAAATTCGGGGATGCCTGGAAAATGTGCTCATTT